TGTGTGTGTGTGTATGTCTCTGTGTGTCTCTCTCTCTCTCCATACATGATTGACAGGTGGTGCGACTCTCTTACCCGATCGAGTTCGTCTTGAACTTCCTGCAGCTTCTCGATGGCCTGCAGGAGGGCAGGGTCGTCAAGCGCCGCCTCGCCGTCCATCTTGGCTCTTTGTCCTCCCCCCTCCATCGCCTGTCTTCCTGCTGACGAGCTGGTCAACGTCGTCCTTCTTATTTACCGTCAAATCGAGACGAAGACGATCCGCCAGACACTTGATTGTCCTTCCCTCGACTCGAGAGCGCGCTAGCATGCCCCTTGTCGCCGCTGAAGAGCCACCAGCTGGCTGCTGGGCAGGTGGCTAGGTGAGACCCGTGCGAAAGCACTGGAATAGACGGATAGGCAGGAAGACGAACAGAAGAAAGACAGAAGAAAGAGAAAGAGAAAGAGAGACACAGAGAGAGAAGGAGGGAGGGAGGGAGGCAGGATGGAGAAGATCTACGAGGAGTTCAGCGATGAGAGTGAAAGAGGACGAGCGGTGGCGATTGCCCACGGGGAGAACAGTGACTGTGTGATCAGGACACAGAAACAGACCGCTCAGTTGTAACACAACAAAACCTCCAAGTGCCTCGCCCGATCTCTCTCTCTCCCTCTCTCTCTCGCACGCACACACACACACACACACACACACACACACACACACACACACACACACACACTCCCTGCCTCTCTTCCCTCTCCCTCCCTCTCTCCCCCGCAAGCCCTTCCCTCACGCCGAGCTGCTTGCTGCTCCCGCGTCCCCCACGGCCCTCCCGCGTCCCTGCCGCCGCCTCCAAACGCCCATCGGTCGGTCGAACCGCTCGCCCGCAGGGTGAGGCTCGTCCTCGTCGAGCCTGTCGCTCGAAGCACCTTGGGCTGTGAGACCCATGCCTGGCCCACGCGCGCTCCACCGCGCCCAAATTCCGCACCCTACCATGGCACCAGGCCGGACCAGACCAGACCAAAATACCAGCCCGGAAAAAGCCCCAGCCTGCGCCCCCTCTCCCCCTCCCCCTCCCCCTCCCCCTTCCCCCCGCGCCGCCCTTCCCGGCATATGGCGGCCGGAACAAACGTCTCTCCCTGCCGCCCTCAGCCTTTCCGCAAATTGACGGCCGCTCTTGGCGAGACTGGTCGCTGTCGTTTCTTGCGCCGTTTGCAGGTGTGTCTATGCACCTTTTTTTTTTCTTTTTTTTTTGGGTCTATGCACTTCCAACGCGAGGGGCAGGGGTAAGGCTGCTGGCCGGAAAAAGGGCGAGCAGCGGTCGCCCGGTCATGCGGTGCGGTCCCAGAGGGTGTACAACGGCTGACGACCGTTGAGTTGAGGTTACTCGCCGCTGTCTGGCCGTGCGAGCTCGATGTGTCATGTTGTTTGAGGCGAGTTGAAAGAACAGAGAGAGACTTCTGGCGGCCGCAGTTTCCATCATTAGCGTATTAGCTAATTATTAGGGCGTAGTTGCACTACTGGCCATCAGCCAACATTTTGGATGCATCAGGACACATTTCCCTGATGGGATTCCTTCAAAATTTTGGCAGATGGCTCGACTACCCTTTTTCCCCCGAATACAACGTACGGTCATTATAGCTGTGTTTGAGGCAACTTTCCGTCTAGATACAGATATAATGACCGTACGTTGTAGTCGGGGGAAGAAGGGTAGTGCATCTAGGCCCTTAGCTTAATGCGACGGAAGGGTAGCAGGAAGAGGGGGAGCACACACGAGTATGGATTCAAAGTTCGAAGCCATGTGTTGGAAGGTGATGCTGTTTCTTTGGGGGCCGCGGGGTTTTTCAAGGACAAAACTTCGCCTCCGAAAGAACGATAAGGACAGAAATAGCCCACCGACGACCTGTTCTGACCTCTTTCACAGCTCCAGAGCCGTCCGGCCCAGGGAACAGGGGTCACTGACTATTTTTGAATGAAATGCACTTCAGCACCTGCCATGAACACCAAAAAGGTTGTGCAAGGGGGGAGAGGAAGCGCTATCGCTGCGCTAACTCGTTTAGCGCTACCGGTAGGGTTAGATGGCAGGATAGCTACGCCGGCGCTAGGACCCAGGCGCCGACGCGGTAGTGCGTGATGCACTTCTCGCCTCGGTAGTCTCGAGGGAGGCAGCCGCACCTAGCATATACCATGGAAGAGAAGGAACATATCTTTGCTCTCCTAAGTGCCTGTTTTCAAGATGGAATCCTACCGGCATGCTTAAATATTGGAGTAGCAAAGATCGGAGAAGACATAGCCCGCTTCAATCTCAACGAATAATTTTCAGATTTGAATGTACAATGGTTAAAACAACACTCGGTTACTATTGTGTTTCAAAACAATGCAACCACCCTCTAAAACTGCATGAAGAAAAAATTGGTACGACTTTATGAGAATAGTTCGTTCGATGCAGGGATGTTGGATGACGGGGCAAAAAGAGGCAGATACTAGAGCGAAGGAAAGAATCTAGCCTCATTTGATCCACGAAAAAGTTCGTTATCAAATGGATAATTCAAAAGAAAAACGACTCTACTTTTTGGGAAGGAAAGGAATATAAGGTTCAATTCCTACCATGGATGACGTTACCAAAACTGAGTCAATATAAGGACTCGAGTTCCAAATTCTTCTAGATACGATGTTTGCGGGCTCTTTTCCAGTTGGCATCGCCCTTATACGTTATCGAGCGCATCGGTCCAGCACCGCACAAGCGGGGCGGGACCCTCCCAGCCGCGTCACACAGGAGTTGGTTTATTCCTCACCACGAATACGCATGAAGCTTCCACAAGCCGCTCCGGCCGAATGCGCCATCTATACCTCTCTCGCGCGCCCTTATAAAAGGATAGGGCCTACGCCAGGCACGACTTACCTCCACCTGACGGGAGTTGTCACCTCCCTTCAGTGGGCGTATCCCCGTTGAGCTACCAGTCCACAGTACGAAAGCTAATCAGCTGCATTCGCAGAGGTGGACCAGCCGAGGGCGTTTCTCGTTCGCTGTAGCATAAGGGGTACGCGCGGTTTTACGCCTCTATCGGACCCGTATGCGAAACGACGCCTTGGGGGGCTGAGGTCCCAAACGCGACCCGTCGTCGGTCACCTAGGACGCTTCCTACACACCACACGCACATCACTCTAACGACATAAAAATTAGAACATGCACGGGCATGCACATATACAAAAACGACACAGACAGAGCAACGCACACAATCTTAGTCCCTTCAGTAGCCATCCCATAACTTTCTGATGCGGAAATTAGATAGGCGGCGCTCGCGAGACTTAGTATAAAATCGTGCGGACGCAGGACCTTCCCATATCGACTAGCAATGCATGAATACACAAGCAGCCGCAATGATGGAGTACCTATGTTGTGCCCATGACCAAGCGGTCTTTCGTGGATTCGAGTACCGTTTATGACACTCAGGTATCAAACTCAAAATATTGTGAAGGTCAACCTCTTCACGATATTGCACGGCTGAAGGAACAGTCGTGCGGCCCCCACGACACCTTCGGCCTTTAGGCTGAGTGTCTCCGTGGGCAGGGCAAATAAGCTCTACGCGAGGGGTGATCCCTTCCATACAAAGTCTCGGATATGGGATGTCCTGAACAATGACCTCGAATCCAAGCCCAAGACCAATGTCTGACTAAGAATTGTTTTTAAGAATCATATAACAAATAAAGGGGGGCTCCCTTCCTATCTCAATCTCGACCCCATTTTAACCCTTAAGCATGGGCCCTTAGGCCACCCAAACACCCAAACATAGGTATGTGCGTATGTATATATATATATAAGGGAATAGGCATGTGACGATCATTTTTCATAATCACTGTGCGGCTCCTCCCAGCCATATATATGTATGTGATTGCAAACAGTCAAATCAAAGGTCCAAATCACAAAACATATTTGCAATCACATCAAAGAGTCAACCAGAAATACACACACTACCCGGAGTCAACCAGTCTCTAACTCAGTACTTTTGTTAAATAATCATTCAAATAAATTTGGGTGAAACCGTTAATAAAACAATAAAACCCACCAGGGCTAAAACCTTTTAGGTTGAGTATTGAGGATAAATCGAACAACAGAATTTTTTTTCAAAATTAAATAATCATTCTAGAGTAAAATTACATTCTAAATTTTAAATTTTCATTCCATCTTAAAAAATGTCATTCCTATTTTAAAATTTTTCGTCGTCCTTAAAAACTTTTCTTCAAAAATTGGGGTATCCTTTTTTATTTCAATTGTATGTTAGATATGGAATGAAATTCTGGATTGTTATTTCAAAGTCGTGCTCTCGCTCAACTAACATAAATTCATAACATAACACATAACAAAAATAAATTAGTTATTTGACATCGATGGTTGAATCATCTTACACCATTGTCATTAGTTATCTGTTGGTTAGATAATGGGTCAATTATTTCACTAGGGTTAAAGGGAGTCTTGTATAGTGATTGTTTTAACGAATGTTTTTTTTAATCTAATGCAATAAAAATGCTAAGAATGAAAAACTAATGACATATTTCAACATACATGTCCTTAGTACATTTAATTTCAATTTCAAATTAATCGTTTGAACAATGACTCAACCGGTTTTTGATTAAGCCGCAAAGAAGTAGTAGTTGAAAATGTCACGGTTTTTTTTATTGTAAAATGCAAGTATATCTGCGTGGTCTATCGGGATCATAATTCTTATTGGCATAGGAAGGATATAATATTTGTAAATGCGTCTTACAAATCCATACTTCTTAAGTCGTTCATTAAATATTTTAATTGGACTGTCACTCTAAATAAGGATTTTCAGTCACAAATATGTTAATTCAATCTAAATTAGAAGATATTTGTTGTAGTAGAATAAAAGTCTAATTAAAACATTTCATAACCTCGCCCAGACTTTCATTCCATCTTGAACAAATAGATGTAGTTGGAAGGGAAAACTCATATTTAGACGGAAACTTATCAAATTAAATAATTTTTTTTGAATTCGACGAATATTGAAATGATAATTTATAAATATGAAGGATTTTTTTTTTATGGAATGTTTTTTCAACTTTCATTTATCAGGGAAATTTTTTTGTTGGAGTTGAGTCGTAGACCGCCGAATCGGTAACCGACCTGTTATCAGTGATAACAGAAGATGATCCTCTTGGGATCAATCTAAATCTAGTTCAAATCTTGAATCAAACGATCAAGATAATCTGTAACACAAGACAAATCAATACCCAAGTTAAACTCATAAGTGTACGAAGAATAAAACTCCATAGCACATTCTTACCCAACGTCCTCCTACAAGCTAAGCCTAAACCTACCTCTAAGTCAATACCCAATGTAAGGTAGGTTTGTGGCAGCATCTCCCCTATTCAGAGTGGATTGTCATAATTGTCACCTATCAAAATATAATATAACTCCTTTAAACTAAGAAAATTTTGGCAGCGCTTCTCGTAGGAAAAATGTCTTATCAGAATTTATATTAACTCAAATATGAAAATAAAAACACTCTAATTATGCAACAGAAAAATTTCACAGAATTAAATATTAATTTGATAGTAAAATTATATTCTAAATTTTAAATTTTCATTCCATCTTAAAAAATATCATTCAATTTTAAAATTTTCCGTCTTACTTGAGAACTTTCCTTCCAAGAATGAGGTGCCCCTTCTTATTTGAACTGCACGCTAGAGATGGAATGAAAGTCTGGATGAGTTCATGAAATATTTTGATTGAACTGTTATTCTAAATAAGGATTTTCAATCATAAATATGTTAATCCAATCTAAATTAGAAGATATTTGTTGTAGTAGAATGAAAGTTTAATTAAAACATTTCATAAACTCGTTCAAACTTTCATTCCATCTTGAACAAATAGATGTAGTTGGAAGGGAAAACTCATATTTAGACGGGAACTTATCAAATAAGACTGGAAATTTTAGA